ATCCTGTCCTGGTGTAAGGTTGGGGGTGCTGGCTTACAGAGGTTGGCACTCGGAAATGAAATTTGAGTTTCCCACTGCTGGACAGGACACAGTTAAAAAAAAGGGAAATGCCATTTTCTATAAAAATGATACAGGAAAGCTGAATGAATGCAAAACATTTTACCAAAGAAGCCAAAACTGAAGGGGTGAAGCTAAAAGGATCAGAACTCTAGCTAATAAAGGGAAAAAACTCTTAGCTAAAAATAAATAAAGCCTAGCTAAAGGCTAATAACGTAAATGTTAACTAAAATCAGCAGGATGTTAAACCAAAAATGGCAACAAAAAAAGTAGCTAAAAGTAGCTATTGTTTGTTCAGCTTCTGCCTTATTCAGGGGTTGCCACAGTGAGTAAACTTTTATTTTGAAATAGTTTTTCGTTGGATGAAYTTCCTGACACTGGACTGGAACTTGAAGCCTGAAGATTATAAGACTGCAGCACTGATCTTCAAACTACCACAGCTCAGCAGCAGCTGAATGAAAAGCATTAAAAGAGCAAATAAAAGGAGTTTGAAGGAATTGAAGAGATCTTAATGTATTTCTGTGGGGAAAATATTTGTGAATAAAATGAATATTTTGAAAGACGTTACAAAAGCAAAGCTTATAGCACTGATCTCCTGACTGAGCTGAACAGCTCAATATTTGAATGGCTAAAATAGTGCTAAGTATACAGAAGTAGTTTGACTGCAAACAGTAAACATCAGTCTGACTGATGAATGTTCTAAGGTGGTWCATCATGTTTGTCACCAGTAGGGGGAGCCACTTCCCAAACCCTCTGAGTCACAAACCTGCACAAACAAAAGGAAAGGACATTCTGTTCTGAGTTAATGTCTGTTTGTTTGTTTGTTTGTRTCCAGACTGTGGAGCCCGTGGACCAGCTCCTGCAGTGTGTGGACCCAGCAAAAGACAGAGAACAGTGGGTGCGGGACAATAAGACCGGTGAAATCAGGCCAGTGGACATAGAGATCTGACCTCCCATCTGAGCCCAGAAACTGTGGTCCAGAAGCTCCAACTCTGAGGATGTGACTATGAGAGGAGGTCTGTGATCCGGATCAGTACCAGCCCGTAAACACTGATCCATATGTGACTTGGATCAAACACATCCAGACATCCTCCTGATGAGAGAGATGATGTCAGTATTTGGAAGAAGTTTAAGCTTTGACCTAACAAAATGATTCTTAGTTCAGAAAAAGRAAGTGTGAATTCTTTACAAAAAATAAATAAATAAAAACTCAGGTGAGGCGGATGATGAAGCAGCATCAACAGTGTAAATGTGTACATATTAAACAGCTTTATGTCACACAGCAGTGAAACTATATTAACTGCAATCTTTTTAATAAACTATAATACAAAATGCAGTTAAACCTACAAGTATTGTTTTATGTCTGTGACTGAATAATGATCAAATAATTTAATACTAATATCTGTGTTGATGTGTTAACTGTTTGCTAAGCCTGGTGCCTTTAGCATCTGGTGTNCAAAATCCTCAGCTACTGTCATCACAACGTTTGATTATGTGTTGTCACATATTTCAGACATGTAACTAATCTATATCAATCAAAACATAATAGATTAAACACTGTCAACATTACAAAAAGGAAAACCTAAGAATATAGTGTTGTGCTTTTAACATCAGTAATCTCTAATAACTTTAAATTTCTTCACACATATAGGGTCTTGGGGGCGGGCACTCTCAAAGGCATGCAGGAGTTGAACTGGTTAGTCAGTCTCACCACTCGTGCCTGTGCCCGTTCCCAAATGTTGCATGTAGACATTTAGGGATTTGGGCAAGAGTTGGGGTGGGACTGGCAGTGAGTGATGATATGTACCAGCCACTGCTGGGGCGGGGCTGGCATTCCTGTTCCCCCGGGGCCGTTGGGATTTTTCCATGGTGGCTCCTGGTTGCTGTGGTTGACCCACTGGCTGGAGTGGCTGCTGAGTTCCGGTGGGTGTGTGTGCTTGGCCATTGGTGGTGTTGTGTTTGGCTGGAGAACTGGCCTGTCTACCTGATGCAGCATTCATGCCGAGGGTGCACTGCCACCATGGTTGGAAGCTTCTGGGTCTTGGGTGCGCTGGGCCGATCTTCTTCTGCTGCTTCYTTCTTCTGCTCTGACTCCTGGYTTGGGGCTGACCTGCAGTMGTKGTGGGGTGCACCCTGTGGCAGTGCAGGGGCTTTTGGTTGGCTCAGGTGTGGAGGCATGAGCTATCCTGTGGACGAGCGTTGACCGAGTAGTTTAGCAGACTCGGTGGTTTCTGCCTCGTTTTCCACTGCCTTGGGAGGATATTGGCCCAGCTGAGTGGGAGATGCCTCTGGAGGTTTTGGCATATGCTGTGATGGGGGGGAGGTATTCCTCTCTCAGATATGGGGCTGCTGAAGTCTTTGGTTGGCTGGTGATGGCTGTCCCTGGGCTAACGCTGCAGTGGCAGCAATGTAGATTTGTTTTTAAGGTTGCAGGTCATGGTGGGGGCTGTTGGCCGAGGGGGTTAATCCTGTCCTGGTGTAAGGCTGGGGGTGTGGTGTGGTTACATGGCTCAGTGATGTCTGGTCTGTTGTGCTAGCTTACACAGGTTGGCACTCGGAAATGAAATTTGAGTTTCCCACTGCTGGACAGGACACAGTTAAAAAAAGGGAAATGCCATTTTCTATAAAAATGATACATGAAAGCTGAATGAATGCAAAACATTTTACCAAAGAAGCCAAAACTGAAGGGGTGAAGCTAAAAGGATCAGAACTCTAGCTAATAAAGGGAAAAAACTCTTAGCTAAAAATAAATAAAGCCTAGCTAAAGGCTAATAACGTAAATGTTAACTAAAATCAGCAGGATGTTAAACCAAAAATGGCAACAAAAAAAGTAGCTAAAAGTAGCTATTGTTTGTTCAGCTTCTGCCTTATTCAGGGGTTGCCACAGTGAGCAAACTTTTATTT